TCCTGTCTCCATAACTTTGATAGAGTTTTGTTTAGGACTTTTATATCCATATTCCAGAGCACTGTGGTAGATGATTTCCTTTCCTTGTTGTGTTTCTCGGGTTTTAGAATCAGGGTTGTACTAGCCACAAGAAATGAGTGGAACTATCCCTCCTGTTGTATTTTCTGTAAGATTTTCAGATTGCTATTATTTTCCCCTGAAATATGTGTTTGGATTTACTAGTAAAACCTCTGGTCCTCAAGTTGTCTTCGTGAGATGGATTTTGGTAACAGATTTAATGCAGACATGGGACTATTCTGATTTGTTATTTTGTCTGTGTCATTTTGGTCAAGCGTTTCTTTTTTTAGGGAATTTACTAATCTCTTCAAAGTTGTCAAATTTACTCAGATCAAGTTGTCTGCTTGTTGTTGGGTGCTGCTGAGTCAGTTCAGAGCGACCGTATGTACTGCCTGGCCTGGCCTCATCCTCAGTCATTGTTGTGTTTGAGCCCACTGTTACAGCCACTAGGGTATTCCAGCTCAGCGAACGTTGCTTTTTCATGTGGCACTGTGGGTAATGCACTGGGCCTCAAGGTCGGTTTGAACCTTGAGGTCGAAGGTTTAAACTCACCAGCCACTCCTCAGAAACCCTATACAAGGTCTCTATGAATCGGGACCGACTTGACAGCACTTAACAACACAACAACAATCCTTTGGCAAGCATGATGCCCTTCTCTGGGGACTAGTCCATCCTGGTCCAAGGTACGTGAGATGAAGTCTGGTCATCTTCACTTCTAAGGAGCCTTCTGGCCTGGACTTCTACCAACACAAATCAGTCTGTTCTGGCAGTCCATGGTGTTCGTCACCAACACCATACTTCAAAGGCAACTCCTCTTTGGTTTTTCTTATTCATGGTTCACCTTTACATTTATATGACATGACTGGAAAGACCCTGGCTTGGGTCTGGCCTACCTAGACATCATCGCTGTTTTGCCCACTGCAATATGCTGTTTGGTTTGCTGACCTCTGCTTCTGTGGATGTTGGTTGTTGATCCAAAGAAAATAAAGTTCATGACTTCAGTCTTTTTCCATGTTTATCATGCTGCTCCTTATTGGCCCAGTTGTAAGGATTTTTTTTTCTTTTTGTTTTTATGTTGAGGTATGATCCATGCTGAAGGCTGTAGTCTTTGGTCTTTATCAGTAAGTGCCTCAAGTCCTCTTTACTTTCAGCAAGCAAGGTTGTGTCATCTGCATAGTGCAGGTGGTTAATGAGTCTTCCTCCAGTCCTGGTGGCAGCATTGATGGACTCAAGTGTAGCAGCGGTAGTGAGGATGGCCCAAGATTGGATATTGTTTCATTCTGCTGTGCATGGGGTCACTCTGTGAGTCGGTTCTGACTTGATGACACCTAACAACAACAGCATTGTACTGCTAATACAAAAAATAAAGGCAACAGTCTGTTGTTGGGTAGTGTCCTTGTGTCGGTTCTGACTCGTAACAACCCTGTATAGGGTTTATGTGGAGTTATGTGTTGCAAACCTTCACCTAATTGGAAGGTTTGGGTTAGGGATCCTTCAAACATTGGCTTTTCCTGTGCCATTCTCTCTCTCTCCTCGCCATCTAGGACTCCATGACAGGAATATTGGGCCACTTGCAATTGTCCTAGATGGCTTTGAGTCACTGTTCACTTGGCATTAGTTTTTCTCTCCAATATTCAGATTTGGTCTTTTTTAAGTTCGGTGACCATTTTTGTCAACCTCAGTCTGCTGTCTTCCCAAGTACATTTTTTATTTCATTTGTATTCTTCAGCCCTAGAATTTCCATTTTGACTTTTTTTAAGTTTCTATTTCTCTGGTAAAAATTTCTACCTTTCTTCCTAATGCATATGCTCTCGTTGTTTGTTGTTGTTAAGTGCCATCCAGTCAGTTCTGACTTACGTGACCTTGTATAGGGTTTCTGAGGCGTGGCTGATGGGTTTGAACCGCCGCCTTTGTGGCTCACACCGCCTTGAGGCTGTGTACCTGCAGCGCAATAGCAGGACTCCTCCAAGCTCATGTTTCCTCTTTTATCCTTGAACATGCTTACATTTGCTTCTCTAAAGTCCTTGTGTACAGCATGTAGATCAATTTGATGCTGATTTCTGTTGACTGCTTTGTTTTTCTTCAATGGACCACTTTTTCCTGTTTCTACATGTGTAGTGGTTTTGATTGGAGAATTGTTTTGTGGTTGTCGAGTCAGTTCCAAGTATAGCAATCTTGTAAAGGTTTCTGATGAGAAGCTGATGGGTTTGAACCACCAACCTTGCAGTTAGCATTCCAGTGTTTATCCTATAACACCACATCAGGACTCCTCACTGGCTATTATAATGGATCTATTTCAGAGTCTCTGAGTTTGGTTCTATTTCCCTAACATGATTTTTGCCCTAGTAGGCAGTTCCTCTGGTTGGTCTCCAATTCCAGACTGCCTCCCTTGTGCTGAGCAGCTGCTGAAATCTCGGCTCAGTTTGCCTTGTGTGAAGCCACTGACTTGGTGCAGGGTCCTAGGGGACCTCCTCCACGTGTGCATAGTTTCACACTCAGCCAAAGATGGAAGCAGATTGAATGCCCAGAGTTTAGACCTTACATCCAGATCTCTCCCACTGGAGTTCCCCTTCACTGCCTTGTCATTGTTCGCCACTACTTCAGCTGCTTGCTTTTGTTGTTTTTATAGTTTGTCACAGTTCTTTCTTGTTACCTGCGGGTGAGTGAGTGTGACCAACGAAAACCACAAAAAACAAACTTGTTGCTGTTGTGTTAATTCTCAGTCTTCGCGACCCTACTGTTGTTGTTGTCAAATACCATCGAGTTAGTTCTGACTCATAGTGACCCTGAGTAGGGTTTCCGAGACCAACTGGTGGGTTTGAACTTTGGTTCACACTCTAGGGTTTCTCTTACAGTGTCACAGCAGGGCTTAATGACCCTATAGGACACAGTGAAACTGCCCGTTAGGGCTTTCTAAGCTGCACACTTTGCACAGGCGTCTGCGCTTTCTGCCCCAGGGAGCAATTTATGGGGGTGAACCTTCAATTTATTGGTTGGTAACCATGCACTTAACCAACGGCGCCACCAAGGCTCCATTTGTGCCCAGGCTGCTATGCTATTATCACAAGTCTTACTTTAAAGAAAACAAAACGTTTCTTTTTTATAAGGCCCATTTCCTTGATGAGGTTCCCGTTGGTTCATTCATTATTACCCCTAGTTTCTTCCAGTCTTTGAACGTGTTGATTATTATGCTGTGGTTGTTGTTAAGTGCCATGAGTCAGTTTCCACTCATAGCGACCCTGAGTAGGGTTTCTGAGGAGCAGCTGGTGGGTTTGAACCGCTGAACTTGTCCAGCGCTTATCCTACTGTGCCAAACTTTTAAAGTGTGCACATTTCAACACCGGGCTTCTGTGGGTTTGTACCTTGACTGTGGGTCATGTGGTTCTGATGTTTCTCGTGTCTGTGAACTTTCTTAATCATCTATCGGATCTTCCTGATCACATACCGCAGACACTCTGCATTCTATTGCTTTCTACTGAAGAGGGTTAAGTTTTGTTCTTGTAAGTAGTTAACCTGGTTGGATTCCCTTCAGACTTGGTTTCCCTCCAGTGGGCAGCAATGGCTACTTCTCAGTTCCTCAGCCTCGAAACGATTGTTTTTCCTGTGACTCCCACCCTCACTTTCCAGCTGCTCTGGCAGCCTAGACGCTGTCAGACTTCTCCAGCCCATTAAGCGGTAGCTTGTGCTTGAGACCACGTGACACTGTGTAGCGGTGCAGTATAGGAGGTGACTGGAGAAAGAGCATTTGCAATGTAAACGTTGTTTTACAACGTTCTCCCCTCTTTGAGGAAGAAACTCCTTTCTTTCATTTCTGCCTGTGCCCACAAATCATTGTTTATATTTTGCCCACACATGTAAATGGTTGTTGGTGTAAGGGTAGTCCAGTACATCCCACTCTGCTCTAATTATCTTTTCATTTCAGAAATTTCATGTTTCCACTAAGTTTTTGAAGCTACGTTAGCACCATTGACTTTTTTTTTTAATTTGGGGGTGGGGGGATGTACACTAAAACACTCAGGAACATATAATAATTTAATTTAAACAACAAAAAGGCACATTCTGCAAGCCTGCCTCCTGGCTACCAGCTCTCAGTCCCTCTCTTCCCATGAATCTAGAGTCCTCAGCTGCTCCCTCTCTCCATGCCCTCATCTCTGCCTCCATCTTTGATGTTGCTGCTTCTCTGGTTAGGATTCCGGTGAGGGTCCCGCATTCCGCTTGTGCTCTTCTCCCTTGATGGTTCTAGGGTCCTCTGTTCCTGGACTATAAGATTAACTAATTCTCCATTTTTATTACAAAACTTCTACTTTTACAGTTGTGATAATCTCAGTTAGTCATGATAACAATTACTCACTATCGAATCATAAGAATCGTATCCCCATCTCCTTTCACCAGACCTGTCTAAACAAGATGTAAACCATTCAGTGAGGATTCTACCTTCCCCTACACACTCTGAAACTAAATTCCCTCCTGAAACTTTGTAAGCCAGTCACTTCGTGCCTCTTTATAGCTCCCCAATTTTAGGTCGCCAATGTCTAAGTTGCCTGTCCTTATCACCCCTGCATACAGAGGTAGCATCATTGACTTTTGATCACATTCCATAATCTCTTTGGACCTTCAGTTCCTTATCTGGACAAACAGGGATCAAGAATTCCCAGGCTATAGTTCTTGGGAAGGTCAAATGAGCGATTGCATGTAGATTCTTTGTGTATGTCTTGGGGACACGGTGGCTATCGGACAGGGAGTAACTCTTGATCGTCAAGAGAAGCTTCTCTGAGTACAAGTTGAGAAACACTTGCCTTGCGTCAACTTCGGGACTTAACAAAGCTCAAAAACAAGTGTTTGTATGTATACCAATTTTGAATGTAACTTGTTACGTTACCTTGTTATGATCCTGAGATTCGTGCTTTAAAGTGACCCTCGTTGTCTTGTTATTTTGTTTCTAGATCATCTGTAAAATGGCCTCAATGCTGAGCAGGAACCTGGTGGTGCGTCTGCTGCTCCCCCGATTCTGTGACCTGTGTGGTGACAGCAAGCTCTTCCAAGTGCGGAAGGTTGGAACATAGACCCTCAAAGTGCTTACATTAAAAAAAAAAAAAAATTAAAAATGGAATCCTCTGGAGTTTCTAGATGAATTCAGTAGAAACAGCCTGGGGGGAGAAACGTGACCTGAGCAGGTTGTTCGGAAAATCTCTGAGTGGTCCTGCCCGTTTTTACAGTGTCAGGAAATGCCCAGAGAGCTGGAGTGGAGATTCTGCCATACTTAGTCAGCCCGTTGGTTCTGAGGTGCCAGTGATGAGTCAGGAGACGCTGCTGGCGTGTTAAAGGCCTCTGCACTTGACCCTTGGAGACGTCCATTCGCTGGGCCACATGGTTTGCTCCAGAGCCCTCTGTGCTCTGTAGTCCCACTCTTTTCAATAACTGGTCACCTGGTGTCAAGTTCTTCCTTTGGAAGGCCATTGCCATTGTGCCTGAAAACTTCCTTGTCCTTACGGCCTAACCAGCCGACTCTCCCCCTCAGTGCCTCATCAGGACGCCTAGGCAAGATTGATCTCATTTGCCACCCAGAGAGCGATAAGGGTCTCTTTTGCCCCATTGTTAACTAAATGCATGTGTATCAGGATCAATTCAGAGCCAGAAGGCCCGAGAATCTGGTCACCCTTTTGTAAATCTCTTGGTTTTGATGCACCAGAGGTGCTGCGTGGGCGGCGGGCGGAAGAAGTGCTCGTTAGTGGCATAACTGCTGCCATGCTGCGTGTTCCTTAGTGCTTACAAGTTGTTAAGACAAAATGACAGCTAAGAATAACGGTATGCCTTTTGCCTTTTTAAGGTGTGTGCTGCCCATTTTGGTGACGTTTGTCATGCTGTTGGACAAGAAGCCACTGAGAAGTTTTTGGTACGTGAAGTTTTGCCAGCTATAATTGCTGGTTTAGCTCTTAGCGCACTTTCAAAGTCAGTTGTAAAGGTTGGCATGTTTCAGTCAGTTTTGCGTTCGTCCAGTTCCAACTGCATGACCCCCGAAGTGAACAGTTTCACGAGGCACTGGCTCTGCAGAGAGGGGGTCTTCCTTGTGGACTGTAGCTGTTGCCCCTTGTGGTCAGTCTGTCTTTCACAGTACGAGGCACACACCCTTGCCCTCTTGACTTCCCTTTCTGGAACAGCTCTCCACCACTTCAGTCCAGGGCCTCAACACGTTTGGGACTTTTCCTCGGTCCACTGGTTAAAATCTAGACCCTCAGTGGGGATTCAGGTCCCTTCTCTGTCTCACCTCCAGTCACTTTCCTCAGCTCTGAACCCTGCCTGGTCCAGGTGGCTCTCCCATCTAACTGTACATCTGAGTTATGGGCCTGGATGGGGCCCCATTGGTGCAGATTCCAGTTCCGTAGGTCAGGGTAGGCCCAGGTGGACATCTGTATTTCCGATCTGCTCCTTTACCGTTTGGACAGTCAGCAGGACACAGAGCCACTTTTCTTGCCACACCACCCCTTTAAGGCCCCCTGTTCATTCCTGCCCTTTCCCTTCAGAGTCCCACTATCTGGTGGGACTCTGTGACTCTTTAGCCCCACCTTCCATATTCTGGGCTGTTCCTGGCAATACTTGCCTACCTGTTGCGCCAGGGAGAATGATTTTTTCTTTGTTCAGAGTTCTCATTTCATGTTACGAGTACTTGAGCGCCCCTTCTCCCCTTTCACAGGCTCCCTTGTTTTCTTCTTTGTGTCCCTGTGTTTAGCTCAGTCCTGGGGAGCTACCTTAATGTGTGTAACTTTTATTTGAGAGGATGTACCACCTGGTGGTTGGAAGTTAATCTCAGAACATATAATCTTCAAGTGGATTTTTTAAGGTTGCATTCAGAAGTTCAATTTGTTTTAAGTGTGGTTCAAACTGACTTTTCAGTCCAGCACATTAACCCACAGTGTCACTACAGTAAGATATTACAGCTAATTGAATGGGGAAGGGAATGGGCTACAGATTGAGAGTCAGACCAAAGACTACTGAAACATTTACAGAGAGATTCAAAACTGGCCGGTTTTGAAGGTGATAATCGGTCACACTGCTAGATGCGGTTTGCGTTACTCGCAGTTGATAACAAACAACTTACCTTGATCACTGCAGATTTGTAAGTAGTCTAGTCAAAGACAGCAATATGGATGAGCTAATAGTGGAACAGCCATTAAAGTTCAAAACTTTTCTCCATTTTTCTCTTTACTTCAGGTAACAGTGATCTGGCATTCTACCTTTTTTGGAGCTTTTCTGTATATTCTATTAAATTTAACCAAGTTTACTTGATTATTTACTAAAATCAAGAAGTAAAAGAAATGATTATCTCTTCTACTTACCTTACTTTCTATTTGTTTCAAACAATTCCTTTGAGATGAGCTTAGTTTCCCCTTCGTTTTCATTAATTTCTAGACACCAGCACCAGGTTTGAATGAAGACTGTATTGTGTCTCTGGTAAAGGTTCACACTGCAGTTTAGGCTCCCATTCAACAATCTCTATGCAAGTTGTTCAATGAATTGGTTACATTCTTCACAATGTGTGAACATTCTCATTACTTCTGTTCAGGTTGTTCTATTTCCCTTCATCTAGTTTCCCTGCCTACTTCTGATTTTTGTGTGAAAGACATTGGTCTCATGTAGGTGATGTTTTAAAGGAACAGAGTACTCGTGGGTGATAGTCTTTGCTTTGTGTGCCAGTTGTGCTAGAAGGTGACCTTAGGGGGGGTTGTTGTTTACAGTTTGGAGTATCTCAGGGTAGTAATCTCGAGGAGTCCCTTAGTCTCACCTGCCTAGTAAAGTCTGTGTTTTGTAAAAATTTGAGTTCTGTTCTGAATTTGATTTACGTTTTTAGGAGCCATCTAGTGTGGCTTTGGTCTTGAGCAGCATTATTTTATTTGTTTTGGTAGATCCCAAAGTTTTTTGAACTCTGCTCAGATAGTGTTTGGGGGATGCGCAAGGCCTGTGCGGAGTGCTTCATGGCTGTGTCGTGCACCACGTCACCCGCGGTCCGAAGGGCCATGCTCTCTCCACTCTTCATCAGGCTCATCAGTGACCCCTGCCGATGGGTAAGTCAGGACACAAGTCCACGGCCACTTCCAGGCCTCACCTGGCCTTCCCCAAGGGTGCCCGTGGTCTCTGTGCTCACAGTAGCTGATTGGCATCACGAAAAATCCCAAACCTAAGCCTGTCACTGAGCCCATTTCAGATCATAGCGATCATCTATAGACAATCTGAGATGGGAACACACAGCCTTCATACTGACCCTGTGTAGATGGTTATGAGACGGGAACACACAACCTTCATATTGACCCTGTGTAGACGGTTCTGAGACGGGAACACGCAGCCTTCATACTGACCCTTCATAATGACCCTATATAGACGGTTCTGAGATGGGAACACATAGCCTTCATACTGACCCTTCATACTGACCGTATATAGACGGTTCTGAGACGGGAACCCGCAGCCTTCATAGTGACCCTTCGTACTGACCCTGTATGACGGGAACACACAACCTTCATACTGACCCTGTATAGATGGTTCTGAAACAGGAACACGCAGCCTTCATACTGACCCTGTATAGATGGTTCTGACACGGGAACATGCAGCCTTCATACTGACCGTGTATAGACGGTTCTGAGACGGGAACACACAGCCTCCCCATTTTTCTCCTTGGAGCGGCTGGGTTTGAACCCCCTGATCGTGTGGTTAGCAGCTCACCGCCGAACCCCCAGAACCACTAGAAGGAACACTAGTTTCCTTCTAGTGTCATTAGTGAGCTTTGGCGGATATTAAGAAAGGGCCAGAAGCCCTAACGTTTTTAGTGCATGAAGATGATGGCAGTCAGAACCAGAAGGCAAGAACTACTATCATGTGACCATGCCCCATCATGACTAAGAAAGTCTGTTCAAATACTTTCTAAGTTAGTAGATAGGGAGCTAACATTTGGGAAAAACAAAAACCACTCGGGCACCAAGTCCTCCCTTGGTTTCTGTTGAAGACTAGGAAGTGACACCGAACGCAGGCCGTGTGCAGTCACTGGACTGACAATGGGCCGTCTGGCCCCGGCCAAGCTGCCAGGCTGACACTCCGCCCGCTGCTCACCCTTCTGCTCCCTCGGTTTCAGGTGCGCCAGGCCGCTTTCCAGTCCTTGGGCCCCTTCATCTCCACCTTTGCCAACCCCTCCCGGGCTGGCCTGTGTGTCCGAGAAGACGGGACCCTGAGCATTCGGCCCCCAGCCGAGGAGCTCCACTCTGGTTCTCGCTCTTCGTTATCAGCCTGGTAAGCTCTAGCAGGCTCATCACCTGGACCCCCAACTCACCGTGAGCACCTACACCCCCAGCAGTTAGCTCATCTGGAGTTTCCAGAACAGTCACCTCCTGGGCAGGATGGAATATTAGAGCTTTAATTATGTAAAGAAGAAAAAGTAATTGCAATAATGATTTTGAAACCTGACTACAGGGTTATTAATAATGAAGTTAGCGTGTCTCCTAAATTTAGATGAAATATTCATTGAGAGCAATGATTAAATAACCTGTACAGGATGGACGTTTTCTCTTACTTTCTGATTAATGACGTTCTTTTCATCATTGACATTGGGAGAGACAGGAAGAGCTCTGTGACACAGGTTCTCCCGCCCATGTCTCAGTGACCCCGCCACGCGTTGGTCCCGCTCTAATGAGTTTCTAATGTGGCAGCAGACTCTGGAGTTTTCAGCCCATCCCTCTGAAGATGAGGGGCCCATACTAGCAAACCCAGTTGAGGTTCCTTTATGAGCGTCTCTGTTGTTGCCTGTAGAAGGCAGGAGAACACCTGTGGAGGATTCTACATCTCAGATGATACAGAGCCTTTTTAACACAGGTGCATCCTTCACCTACCCCCTGCTTCCAGTAGAACATGCTGAGCCCCTGCCCACATGCAGCATTTCCCTCAGCCAGGCTTTCCAAGTGACTGGCAGCAGCCCCAAGTCCCAGTGGTTCAGTGTTTCTTTTCTGAAGGCTGCCCCCTGGTGGACATCCTGGTGAGCAGTCAGTCTTGCACCTGGCAATGTGTCAGCCCCAGGCAGGCTCCTGCTCCCCTCCAGTAAGTGCAGGTGCTTTCAGTACATATGACAGTCCTGGAGCGGGGTGAGGAGGGGGCCACTGGAAGCTTCCACCCTGTCTGCTGGGACTGGAGAGAAGATGAGGCCTGGGGCCAGCGGCGATGTGGATCTAATGTTTTTCCTGTGTTACTTACTCCCAGTCTGTTACACAGTGCTCAAAGTTTGCCTCCCCCAATTTCACGTAGTTTAAAGACACCTGTGCGGATAGAGGCAGACCCACCGCTGGAAGGCACATCCTCGGAGGCCAGTCATGAACTGAGTACCCGTAGTGCTTCAAACGGCTCAGCAGGAAGCCCAGTGCAAGACTCTGTCGTTGTGGTTGGAGATGAACTGGCCAGGTCTTCCCCAGGACCCTGCACTTTCTCGAAGCTCTCCAATGCAAATGGCCTCACCACTAGCAGTCACCTGGTGCCACATTCCTCGGCCTGCCTGGAGAGCTCTGCAGATGTATTCAGTAACTTTTTGTACTGGCGGACTCCCCTCCCTGACATCAGCCGGGATTTAGAGCTGCTTGTGGGCCAGGCTGGGCCGCAGGAAGATGCCTGTTGTCCACCTGAGACAGCACATAACAGCTGTGTGCCCAGCAGCGACATTCAGAAAGTCCTCCATCGCTTACAGGAGCACATGAGGAATGACCCAGATGTCCAAGGTAAACGTTGCCCCTTTTGAAAGAACAGGGAACAGGTATGACCAAGTTACGTGTTGCCCGCTGTGGCCACTTCCTGCTGGTTGAGGTGCATGTAGGTGATGCGTGTGTGTGAACCTAGGTAGATGTTTGTGGAAATTGTGCTCGTCTCCAGAGGAGACACCTATTCATCTCCCCGCAGCTGGGAGTCAGAGAGCCCCCACCGCTGCCGGGCTCCTGCACTCACTCTGCAGAGCGTAGGGACTGTAGGGACAGGCAGCCAAGGACAGGGCTCCTTTGGGACCCCCAAAGCTTGGATGTTTTGGTTTTGGTACAGAAGGAAAAGTACAGTTTCTCCTTTGGGGTGTTTGTCTTTTCCTGACTTGTGCTCCCACCGAGCATGAGATCTGAGAGCAGACGTTGCCGTCCAAGCCCATCTACCCGCTCGGTGCTGTCTCTGAGCACTGAAGCATTTGCATTTCTCCTTGAACCTGAGAGAACAGTCCAGGCTGCAGTTGCTGGGCAGAGCTCTTGCAGGCTTTGGGGCAGGAGATGTGAAAATCCAGCCTGCCCTCTGATTATTCTCTGCTCTTACATTGGCCACGGAAATTAATTCCATGTTTACTGAAGGGCTGAGTGCATAGAGCATGCCGCTTCCAAGAGTTACAAACAGAAATCTGGTCTGGAAAGCTTGTCTCGAAAACACATGGACCCCCGAGATCAGCTCCCAGGCTGGGGGATGGGGGCTGAGGCCACTGACCTCGGGAGACCCTTGTGGTCCCATTGGGGCCTTGCATACTTGGTTTCCTGGAGGATGGGTGGACGGGGCTGTGACAGAGGTGGCCAGAATGCACACTGGAGCCCAAGGACAGCCAGCTAGTGGTCATGGGAGCAGAGGGCCTGGGAGAGGACCTTGCAGAGCAGGTGACCTTTGATGTGAGCTTCAACCAAAGGCTAGAGAAGGGTGCAGTGGGTGAGTGGCCATCCTTGAGGGTGTCTGTGCAAACATAGTCATAGAAAGGGTCCAGAGCTCAGGAGGACTCTGCAATCTGCAGACGTTCTGAAATGCTTGGCTTGTTCAGGCCCTTGTGAACCGGCTATGGCTGGAAATGTTTCTTGGGTCATTGAGGGGACCTGGAGTTCTCCCCCAAGGTGGGGGCTTGCTCTGGGTGCAGTAATGGGGAGTGAAGGGGGCAGCTAGAAGCTCTAAACATTTGATTGAACGGCGGGACCCCTTGATTCTAACCAATGCAGTAAGTCTCGTGTGTGTCAGGTATGTTCATTCACAAGCACGTGTGCTCTGGGGCGGGGGCATGGAAACATCAGTTTGTTTTGGAGGACAGATGTGAATTGTGTGGACTTTATTCTTTGAGAGGGTTGTTTATCACACAGTAATCCTGGGCGCAGAATCCACAAAGAGCCCTTGGGGCTTGGTGAGCGAGAGTTCTACTTATCTCTATAGAAGTGGTTGTCTACCGTGTGTGTGTGTGTGTGTGGGGGGGGGGCTTTACATTTGGGAGAGCCAGGCCCCCTCCTGGATCCGATGGGCTGCCCAGATCGCCTTGGCAGTTGAGGAACCTTGTGCAGAAGGTGGTAGCAGCGGCCTGCGGTTTTCCTAACGGAGGTGTCTGGGGTTCATGTTCCATAGTCTGCTTGCGATAGTTGACATTATTGCTAAGTTTCGCCACCTTGCTGAGGGCTTGTTTTGACTCCAGAGCACAATTTTGGAGCCTTTTGCAGCCCAGACACAGATGTGTGGAGTGTGTGTCTGTGTGGTGCTCTGGTGTCATGCAGCCTCATGCGCACTGCGCTGTCCTGAAGGAAGACTTCTCTAAAGTAGTCCCTCCAAACCAAATCAAGTTGTTAAAATTCTGGAAACTTCCCTCCCTCCAGCTCAAGTTCAGGTCTTATCAGCTGCCCTGAGAGCTGCCCAGCTTGACTCCACGAGTATGTCCAAGAGCAAACCGCCAGCAGAGCTAAATGAAGCCTCCTGTGGGGATGAGATGGCTCTGTCTGCCACCCCCCCTCCAGACGCGCTGGCTGCAGCCAGGATGTTACAAAGCACAGTGAGTGTCTGCCCGGTCCCTCCGCCACTGACGATGTGACAGAGATCACAAAGCCCTGCTTGCTGTTATTAACATATTCTGGCAGAGATGATAAATGGCAAATTTAATTTTATTCTTAAGGTCATGTTTTGGATAACTAGACAACCAATCAATCGGGTGATTGATAACTCTCATTGATTCTCTTCCACAAAAACAAGGGTGGGGAGACCAAAAAGTGCCTTCCTTCTCCTCCAAAGACTAGAGAACCGGCTCACTGCTCACAGATGTTCATTCACAATATGTAGAGGCTGGTGTTGGCCAAGGCTTCGAGACAGATCCTCCCGTTTCCTAGGAACTCATTTCACAGCCGTCTGCCTCAGAGTGATACTGCGAGTCACTTCTCCCGGCCACTCCCCTGGGGCCCTGACCAGGGGGAACGGGATCAGCACCTGCTTGTCATACTCAGTCTCTTCCTGAAGCTTGTAGCTGCTCCTTCCTGATTCCTACTAAGCAGCCAAGGGGCCACTTTGAGCTGTGGTCTTTCACAGGGAAAACCTGGGCTAGAAACAGCTCACAGCCCTCTCAAGTCTCTGCCCAGCCTGCCCACCTCTCACTGGCCATGTGTGCTCATGGGGTTGCATGGTGACTGGGTTTGGAAGCTGCCCCTGTGAGGAGTTCACATCCCTGACTGAAATGGGTCCGGTGGAGGTGGGGCATGAGAGTGGTGCCGCCGTGGGGGGGATCATCTGGGGAAATGGACTCACCTTTGGGGGTTGCTCTGACTTGTGTCTTTCCTAGGCGGTAGTTTGACTCCTGAAATAAGCATGATACTAAACAGTTGCACTGAAGGCTTTGGGATAAAATTAAACCCTCAGAGGATAGCAGATTCCGGTGCTACAGCTTATTGGTATATGTGAATTTATTAACTTGGAGGAATTGAATTCTTAGGTTATCAGCTCAACATCTTTCATTTTATCATGTGCTCTGTTAAACAAACAGTGCATTGCAGCTGAAATCCTTGGGAATTGAAGGTTCTGGTAGCATGCCTCTGAGCAGACGAAACATCTATTGGTGTATTAATCGACTTTCCTGGATCATATATTGAGCTGATTTGTCAGAACCTATTCAGCTGGTAGACAGTCTGACATTTCACGTGCACGTAGGAAATGCATGTTAGGGTTGAAGGAGAAGGCCAGGCCCGTCTCCGTTACTGTTAATCAATGATCAGAGGCCAATATGTCACCGTGGAATGTCCCCACTTGTTTTCATTGTTAACCTAACGTAAAGGCTCATTAGCCAACGTTAGGCGGTGTTTGTGTACATGTGGAAACGGGGGAGTTTTCCTGGTAAATACTTCCATATCAGTCTCCTCTTTTCCCTCTCACCCTGACCCAGCGAGGTAGCCACCTCTGATTCCCCAGGAAGGCTGCTGGCTTCACCATTCCTGCCCCCGTGTCTCACACATCTGGCTATTACTTGAGGGCATTGTTAGCCACACTGGACCTTGGACGGGAAAAACAGCAGATGGTACTCTTGTCAACTGTTGTGGTTTCATAAGGTCCTCGAACAGTCTTGAAGTGAGAACTTATTGTCCGGTTTCCTTGGTGCTTGCATGCCTGGTCTGTACAATGTCATGTATGACTTACTTCAAGCATCTGGAGAGATACTCTTGATTCCAGGGAACCTCTAGCCCTAAGTTTGCAGAAGTCAATGCTGGCACCAAAAGCGGATTCTTTGGAGGGGGAGTAGTCGGGAAACTTCTTCCTCTTTTGGAGTAAGTTGGTAATGTGCCCAATCAACTCTGCAGGATTCAGAAGAGACCCTCAATGGGACCCACCACCCCTTGCAGACTGAGCTGAACCATGACTCTGTCTCACAGGAGGAAACTAAATCTAAATTACAGGTTTGTGAAAATATTATGCCGCCTCTTTGAGAGAAAAGCATGACATCTTCTGCAAGTTTAATTTCAGAATGGCGTTGGAACCATAGTCGTTTTCTTCTACCATCAGGAACATAGTGACTTAGCTCTCCCTTTGAGCACAGATTCTAAACTGTCAGTGAGATGGTGTTTTATGAAGGTCACATCCCCTCTGTTGGGAAAACAGGGTGATGGTCAGTGTAGTCTTGGGTCCCTTGTTATTGGTGCAGTTCTAGGAAAAGTGAAGACTGTTTCTCTCCTTAAGGGCTGTGCGCACTAAACTAGCCAAACATTGCTTTTGAGATGTTTCCCTCTATAATAGCGAATGTTCTCATTTTACAAGGGGAACAAGTGGTGGCCATTGCCTTAGCTTTGGTCTCCAGCCCCCTCTGTGGGTGATAAGAAGCTCACCAGTCCAAAGCCCTCAGAACACCTTCTTGTTCCCTACAAGTCTCGGCTTCATTTTTTTTTTTTTTTTTTCACCTGGAACCTCCCGTTTGCCCTTCTCTCATGTCAGCATGGTGGTCTTCCTTTCTCTCCCATTGGCCAGGACATCATTCCTCAGCCCCTGCTGGACCAGTATGTGTCAATGACAGACCCAGCGCGCGCTCAGACTGTGGATACCGACATAGCCAAGCACTGTGCGTACAGCCTCCCGGGGGTGGCGCTCACCCTAGGCCGGCAGAACTGGCATTGCCTAAAGGACACCTACGAAACGTTGGCGTCGGACGTGCAGGTAAAGCCCAAGTGGGCTAGGCCCTGTCATTGGGAAGGAGCTAGAGCTGGCCCCGGTTCACTGCCCAGCATTCACATGGCACAGATTGTTCTCAGGAAATCAAGCTGCATGTGGCCAACACCTACCAGTCATAGTTTAGCTTCAGAAATGCCATGCGCGATCTCAGTAATGCTAACCTAGCTTGGTTTCTGTACCTTTCTGTCCGTTTGTCTGCTGCTGCACACTGACAGTGGAAAGTGCGCCGGACCCTCGCCTTCTCCATTCACGAGCTGGCTGTGATCCTCGGGGACCAGCTAACAGCGGCCGACTTGGTGCCCATTTTTAATGGATTCTTAAAGGACCTGGATGAAGTGCGCATTGGGGTCCTTAAGCATCTGTACGATTTTCTTAAGGTAGGAAGGAGGGGAACAAGCAAATCAGATCTCTCATTGCCGCCCCCCATTTTAAAAACCAGATCAGCAGAGGGTGAGTATTCTGTGTCTTTCCCTGTAAGCTTCTTGCCCTTCCGAGCTTTAATTCTGAGGAGAATCCTGGACATACGAAGTGGTTTCAGAAAGTTCGTAGAAAACTTCCCATTATCTTTTAACTCCACTTGTCCACATAGTGTTTGAAGGCCCTTGTAGACTTCCTCACACTCTGTGAAAAAGGAAAAACAGGCCTGGCAAAAAGACATGAGTGCCCAGAGGTCACTCGGGAGGAGCCCCGGCCGAGAGCCAGTCTCCATTCCACATGAAGGCCTTTTTTCTGCAAGATGCAGCTCCTCTTCTTGCTGCTCTGTTTGTTCGTTTGTTTTTTTGCCTTTCAAGGGAATGATGAGTTTTAAAATAAGGGTTTAAAAATGGCCTCGAGAAACGAAATACTCACACCCATGCCACCCAGCGCTGTCCTGATGGCTTCGGGCTCACCCTTAACGTAGCAGCATTTCTGGGCACAGGAGAGAGTTTGATTTAGATAGGAAATGAAGAAGGGGAGAGTCCTCTGGGCATTTAGACGTACAAAAGCTCACGTGGCAGCCAAGGGAAAAGATGGGCAGCATTCAGGTAATAGCTGCATCCGTGCACGCCCGCCCGCCATGAGTGGTGACAGATAGGCCTTGGGGAATGCAGAGTCCCTGCCGGTGACCCGTGTGCTTTAGAAATGCAGTACCCACAGGGACTTGCCTAGAGGAGGACATATGCTTATTTATTTATGTACACTTGTTTGTCAACAGCTGCTTCATGCAGACAAGAGGAGAGAGTATCTCTATCAGCTGCCGGAATTTGTAGTGACCGACAACAGCAGGAACTGGAGGTTTCGGTATGAACTAGCAGAGTAAGTAAAACCTGTTTGGGGACAGGAGAAGGCAAATTAGAGTGCTTAATTCGTCATTTTCCTCCTTAATAATTGATTTCCAAACCAGCGGTGATAGTGTTCTTTAAGATAAAGAGATTATGTTCTTATTAAGGGACAACCTGAATTCCAGAGCTCCAGCTTACATAGTCTCTGGGGAACCCCTCCTGTGCAGCCCAAGGGTTCTGCTGTTCTGGGAGCAGCTCATGGGCACTCAGGCAGAGGCGAATCACCTGCTCTGCACTGTTTTCCTGCTAATCGGAGCCGTTTGGGCCAAAGCTTTCCTGAACGTTCTGAGAGCAGTCCTCTGTTGGGTTGGGGGGAAGGGATGGGGGACGGGTCTACAGAAGCCACACTATGGTATGGTCTAACTCAGTCAGACAATTATCCCATGAAAGACCCCTTCGGGGCTCCTACCTGGACCTGGTTTCGGTGTGAAGGAGTGATTTAATTCCATCTCATGCCAGCAAAAAGGATTGTTAAAAGGGTTTGTTTTATTTTTTTGCTTTCTCATGGCTTCTGTCTAAGAGAGTGAGGACATCTGATTGCTCTCCTTTCTGGTGTGTCCAGGGCTCTTTGGGGTTGCTGCTGGGCTGTTCTGTCCATTTTCCCTGTCTGCACCTGGAAATCCCACCCCCGCCAAAAAAAAAAAAAAATCCATCAGACTTGTTGGGGTGGTTCTTCGGGATGTGATTTGGGATTTGGATCATGCCAGGGAAAACGAACAGATTTTCTCATGGTGGTCTTTAATCATTATGCTTTTAATCTGAGAGATTGAGGTTTCAGTCCTGATGCCATGTTCCCAGCTCAGGGCTCTTCTAGAAGCACAGAGAAAAACAGGTCCGCGGGTGGTGGTGGTGGTGTTTTGTTTTGTTTTGTTTTGTTTGCCTGAAAACTGCGACCCCTAGTGGCGGCCTGCGGGAGCACTTGGCTGGGAACTGGGCCCATCCAGCCTCACCTTGGAGCGTGGCCTATCTCCCATCTCTCCTGTGGTTATTGAAGCCAAAGATGCTGATATGAATTCTGTGTTCCTGTGCCCACGATATTGGTATCATTCTGTGTTCCTGTGCCCACGATATTGGTATCATTTTTTCTGAAAACAGTGCATTTTGATATGAGAGCATTCACCGGCACTCTTGGCTCCTGGTTCTAACTTCCTCCCTATACCTTTTTTCATTTCCTTTTGTTGCCTGTGTGGAAATGGGCCATGTATTCTCTTCCTCCTGTTCTCCCCAGCCCTATTTAGAAAGTAGCAAACGCCATGGAGCTGGACCATGTGGACCATGCTAGCTTTTCTCTTTTCTTTTGGAGTTGAGAACAAATGGTTCCAGTTTTGTGAGTGGGACCTTGTGAGGTTTAAAAGACCCCAGAGTGGGGCCGTGAGCAAGGAAACTGCAGTATAACATTTAACGTGCAGTTTCAGGAAATACTGAAGGGACCAGGAAAGAAGTCCCATCAGGCCTCCTTCTTCCTTCTGATCAGCCGATCTCTGGGAACGTCAGCCTCCTTGCTATTTTTACGTTATCTGATCCTAAAAAGTTTTATGTGCTCTCCTGATGATAACCTAACATTGAAATATATCAAGTCCGTCTTCATAAATTTCTCAGCCTCTGCTTTTCGAAGTTGAATTTATTTCCTTTGGGGTGTGTGTGTGTGTGTGTGTGTGTGTGAAGGAGAACTAACATTTCTTTCCTCCTCATTTCTTGGCATGACCATTGCACAGAGACCGTGGCTGCAACAATGGACTCGAACACTGTGGTACTCAGTGAGGCTGGAGTAGGAGGGGGTAGTGTGGTATACAGAGGAAAGCTTTGAGTCGGAACCGACTCGATGGCCCCTAACAGCAATCCCATTTCCTGAAGCATTCCTGTTCTTGTGCTCGCTCACTGACACGCCACCCTGGTCCTCATTGTCCTCCAGGGCCAGCCCCGCTCTGGTTTTCATCTGAAATGCGAGTAAAGAGGAATGAGTGGGGTGTTTTGTAGTGGCGGCGGTTTTGTTCTGTTATCTTTTGTTTTTGCCAAAAGAATGATTTCTATTTTCATTTTCAGACAGCTGATACTAATTTTGGAGCTGTACAATCCCAACGATGTTTATGATTACCTAATGCATATTGCTTTAAAGCTGTGTGCAGATAAAGTTTCTGAAGTTCGCTGGATCTCCTTCAAACTAGTAAGGCCTCATGACATTTTTGCTGTTTGTGGCTTTGAAACTAGAAATGGTTACGTACTTTCCATTTTAATTCCTTTATTATTTTTTTTTCTGGGCTTAATTTGGTAGCTTTTACCTTTGAAACCAGTTTTTACATTTTTGAACTGTATTAGAGGTTTATCAGTTTGAAAAAATTGCTTTTTTTGTTCAGCTGTCTACTTCAGTGATGGGAATTGTAGATAAATCACTCTTTATGAAACCCTTTAAAATAATGACATGGTGTCTGTTTTGCACAGGGGTTGATTGGATGTGTTCTCCAGCCTGGTTTCATAGAAAAGCGTTCAGTAGCAAAGCCTCCAGCATAGGGAAGCTGGTTCCGTTTTACGTGGCCTTATGCCATCTGAATAATGGATGACAAAAATCTGTCCTTTGAAAACACTGATTTACTAAGGTTACGCTGATTGTATATATTAAAATTATATAAAAATGACATCTTCTGAAAGTCAGTTTAGTTATGCAAGGGACCATGCTGTAAAATTTGGAACCATAAGATTAATTATGTACTTTCCTAATGTCAGTTCCTGAGTTTCATTTTAACGAAGGGTTTTGTGTAGGTGTGGGCATATATGTCTGTGGCCATTTCTGTGTTCCAGTGATTACTGTGACAAAAATTAACGTTTTCCCATGCTTATAAATTCATTGTAAAGGTGGAAGGTTCATAATAATGCCCAGTCTCCAAGCAAAGTGGTATGCGTACCTCCCGTCGACAGCAGCGGCTTAAATATTACTCTTCTCGTGTTTCTGGCAGGCCGTGGCAATCCTGCACAAATTCTACTCAAACAGCGAAAGCGCACTGGGGTTACAGTTCATCAACGAACTCATCCTAAGGTTCCGGCACTGCCCAAAGTGGGTTGGAAGGCAAGCTTTCGCCTTTATCTGCCAGGTCAGCGTGCCCCTGGGTGTACATTTACCATGTGCTGCTGTGATGTCACGTTCACCAGAGAGAGAGGGACCCAGCCAGGACACATGTCCATTCCATAGTCTTGTGTGGATACAGAGGCATGGACGAGCCCCCTCCCCTCAGTTAGGAGGGAAGGCGCCAGGTGGCGGCAGTGGGGGTTTCCAGCCAGTGCTTTGTAGTTGTGTTCCAGAAAGCGAGGCCCCACTCTGTCTGGGGACAATGGCACTGATCCTCGGAGCCCCCACCTGCCAGGCACAGCACACGCCCTCACCTTTAGACCAGCTCTTGTCACAGGACACATGTGAAGCCCAGAGAGCTTCAGTCATGTGAGGCAGGTCCCTCCTGATAGTATTGAAGGGCTCTACACGGAAAGCTAGGATCGCATCAAAGGAATCTGCCTCCTCAGGGTCACACTGTCATTTACACGTAGCTGGAAGGCTGGGGGATAAGGGACTATTCTGAAAGGGAAGAAGGCAGACTCTGGTGTTAGGCCACTAGCTTGAAAGTTGACTCCACCCCTTCCCTGCCCTGTGTGATCCTGTCTGGCCCTGTGTGATCCTCTGTGACTCTGTGTGATCCTGTGTCTGTCACCCTGTGTGACCCTGTGTGATCCTCTGTGACGCTGTGTGATCCTGTGTCTGTCACCCTGTGTGATCCTGTGTGATCCTCTGTGACTCTGTGTGATTCTGTGTCTGTCACCCTGTGTGATCCTGTGTGATCCTGTGTGATCCTGTGTCTGTCACCCTGTGTGACCCTGTATGATCCTGTGTGATCCTCTGTGACGCTGTGTGATCCTGTGTCTGTCACCCTGTGTGATCCTGTGTGATCCTCTGTGACGCTGTGTGATCCTGTGTCTGTCACCCTGTGTGATCCTGTGTGATCCACTGTGACTCTGTGTGACCCTGTGTCTGTCACCCTGTGTGACCCCATGTGGCCCTCCTGTGTGACCCAGGGCACAGTGGTCCCTGTGCCCTGCTTTCCATCATCCCTGCAGTCAGGGAGCTGATGGTACAGGCATACCTGAGATAGTGTGGGTTCAGTTCCGGGTCATCAATAAAACCAATCATACACATATTTTCATTTCCTGGTGCCCCTAAACTGATGCTGACACTAGACTGAAGTATATTAAGTGTGTACTTGTTGTTCTGGGTGGTGGTGTTAAGGGCCATCGAGTTGGTTCTGACTTATAGCGACCCTGTATAGGGTTTCTGAGGAGCAGCTGGTGGGCTTGAACTGCTGACCTTATGGTTCAAAGTCCTGTGCTGATCCTGCAGCACCTCCCCGCCCCCCCCAGGAGTCCGTCTGTCCGTCCATGTGAAACTCTGAACCATTCTGAGAGTGACCAGAATCTGACAGAGATGTGACGTGACCAATGGGCTGTTGGAGAAATGGTGCCCAAAGACTTATTTGACATAGGGTTGCCACAGACCTTCCGTTTGGGGAAAATGCTGTGCCTTTGAAGCCCGGTAAAGCCTGCCCGTCTGCACACCTGCTTCACAGTGTTGTCTCAAGACTTCCTTGGGACAATACCTGAGCTACCCAGAATGGTGCCCACCACAGTGTCCACCGCTGTGGCCCAGATTACCCTCATCAGAGAGACCCAAAACCCTGCGAATCCACATTCCTGGAGTCAGCCTTGTTGTGGGGAGGCCATTGGGTGTCCCATGTGGGACTAGAACGTTCTCACCTGTAAAGCGGGGCTCGTTCTGCTCTGATGTTGGCGGTGAGAACGAAATCACTGGAGATAGGTAAAGCTCGGTGAGTGGGGAGCGCTGTGGAACCAACTTGACAAAACCAAGTCAAGGCCTACACTCCCCCTTTTCCTTGCCATCGAGTCAGTTCTGACTCAGAGACCCTATAGGACGGAGCCCAACTGCCCCATGGGGTTTCCAAGGATGGCATCTTTAAGGGAGCAGATCGCCAGGTCTTTGTCCTGCAAAGCTGCTGGGTCGGTCTGAATAAGCACAGCACCACTGGGCCACCAGGGCAATGCCTTAGGCTCCAGGATCTGGTTGCTGCTGGATAGACAGTTCCACCCACAGAGCTCTGTTGCCATGTGTAACATAGTGTGGCAGGTGCTTGGCTAAATGCCTTGCCATCCTCACAAAATACATCCCCATTGTGCAGGTGGGGGACATTGAGGTCCTGAAGGCGAGCTCACTTACCAAGGCCACATAGTTAGGTCTTGAACCTAGAGCTGTCTGACTCCAGCGATTCTGCTTTACCCTCCCTGGTCTAGCCTGTGGAACCCAGAGCTTGGGGAAATAATTATACGACGACGGTTATAATTAATTCACTTGTGGAGATTTTAAATGCGCACACATTCTCCTCAAACATACAGATTCTAAAATTACATCTTCGGAATTACAAAGCCTAGGCTTTGGCACTACAGGATAATGCGCTTGACTGCAAGGTCAGTTTGAACTTCAAGATTGGCAGTTCAAACCCACCAGCCACTTCTTAGAAGCCCTCTACAGGGTCGCTCTGATTCAGAACTGACTGGACAGCATTTAACAACAACAATAACAACAGAGTTTTTAGAAGGAACCCTATTGCATCCACATTTAAGTGCTCTACTGACTGCTAACTGAAACGTTAGGGGTTTGAACCCACCCAGCAGACACTGCCGTGTGCTCCTGTAAAGATTACATACAGCCTGAAACCTCAGGGGGGCAGCTCTCCTTGGTGACAGGGTGTTTGCTATGAGTCACAGTCAGTAGTACCCAACCACAAAAGTTTCCTAGAACAACCATGCCGGTCCCTACTGAGAATGCCAATTGTGCTGTGTGTGGCTCTCCTTCTGTCCCAGGCGGTGGTGAATGGAGAGTGTATCCCTGTGGATCAGTTCGTGGAACACTTACTCCCAAGCCTCCTGAGCCTTGCGTCGGATCCTGTGCCAAACGTTCGGGTTTTGCTAGCCAAAGCCCTGAGGCAGACACTACTGGAAAAGGGTATGTGGGCTGTTTTTCCGAATGTACACATTTTAAACTTTATCTGTTGTTAAAACGGCAACAGATGTCCTTTTGAGAGGGGTATTGTGGCAAATTGAGTGAATAGTGTATGTAAGATGTATGTATTTATGTCAATTCATGCATTATGTTTTAGGCACACTGTGGATATGTTAGTTATAGCGTGACTTAAGGGAGTGTAGTTCCATTTACTTTTAATAAACATATGCTGAAACGCAAAATGTCGCCTGGCCTTCTAGAAATGAGGGCACTTTTGTAAATGTGGAGTGCATCAGACCAGGAGAGGTTCTGACTGCTGCGTCATCAGATGACGTCAGCCTTAACTGGTGTTAACTCAAAGCTGTATCATTTCTGTTGTCAGTAAGAAGGCATTTACAGCCCAACCTCGTCAGTTCATTTAAACCTGAGTAGGATTTCAAATAACCATTGGCCTCCCTAGGCTAGGTCATTTCTATTCCACAGAGATAGAAAGACATCTTAAACCTGTCTTGCAAATTACATTGCCTGCCAGCCGCCTCATATTCCACATATTGTCAATTCTTGTGTATAAGAGGAGGAAAAACGGATGTTAATTTTTTTTAAGTTACTATAATTTTTAAAAGATGCATAATTCTGTTTTGGGATTCCATCTTTAAAATTTAAGAAATTCTCTTTCATTATCATTTCAGGGGGACTCGGGTACATAATTCTATGGAAAAGGATTTATGGCCCTGAGATGGGACTTAAAAAAAAAACAACAACCCAACAAAACACAAAAGAAACAAGAGAATTTTGGAACACAGTTTATGATACATGTAATTCAAACTGCTGTTTTCTCTCCAGCGTATTTTAGAAATGCCGGTAACCCTCATCTTGAAGTCGTGCAAGAGACTGTCTTAGTGTTGCAGTCAGACCGGGACCAAGATGTTTCCTTTTTTGCCACCCTCGAACCAAAGCGGCAGAATATTCTAGACACCACCATGTTAGAGAAACAGAACTAACTCCGCTGTGATCACGTGCAGTCTGGTCATTTCGTGCTTGGCCCACAGGGCTTCTTATAACTTGAAGGGGAACTAAAAATTGTACTGTCCCTGCTGAGAGAGGACAGATTTCTTACACTTTCTGAACATGCACTCCAATGACCCCTTGTCTTCCCATTGTGGCCCCAGGGTTCGACCCTGGACAACGGCACCTGCTCTGGGCTCCCCTTTCCTGCAAGTCTGATCAGCCCTAGTCTAAGGAAAGGATCAGGGTGTGGGAACCACAGTGTCATCAGATGACCTGCCAGTGGCTGCTTTCCTCTGTGAAAGACTAGTTTATTTAAAGCCCTCGTCCCAATAAAGTAGTTTCTTCTAAGCTTTATAAAAGTCTTTCATAGACTTGCATATTTGGCTTCCCTGATGCCTCCCTGTAAAATATGATTTATGGTGTTATATTTTATCTCTGCCTAAAAACTGTACATATGTCAATAGCTCTTGACAGGAAGAAAATATATTAATGTAATATTATCCCTCCTATCAGTGAACAGAACAAATACATCGTTTAAATTTATGCTCCACTTTGAGTTTGCTGCAAATATAGCCCAAATTGTTTATTTTGAAAAATGTGTTATTTAAAAAAAAAAAAATCGACTAGAGCACGATTTATGGCTGTCTTTCTCATATCGTATGGACTGTAATTAGAAAGGTTCCTGGAACTTTCCCTTCAAGCACTCACTCACCCACTCCACTCCTCACAGGCATGGGGTCCGTCCACAAATCTATGTATCGGCTCTTGATTGAGACTTAATCCCGAAAGGGTTTTCACTTCTATATTGGTAAAGGATCATATGACGGTGCTTTAAAATTTCATGGGAAAATAGAGTTAGAAGATAATGGAATTTTCCCACAAACTTTTTGAAGCCCTCTCGCATACATACAAGGTAACTTGATACATTGAAATGGCCAAAAACAGACTTTACGTTGTCACGCTTCAGAATCTTCACAAACGTTAGAAACCATACTCCGTTCTCCTCGGCCCCTTAATAACTTGTCCCACAAACACCACTGGTTTTGGGGGTTTTGCCATATGGTACTCTTAAAATTATCTTAAATACACAGAACTTAACATTTTATACTTTAAAAAAATTACGACTAAGAGGAAGATGCTCTAGACTTTAAACAGGTTTTTCATTAATACAGCAAGGTTCTATAACCATTTGGCTAATTTCTGTATACATGGATGCACACATTCGTTTTCTGGCTTCTATTTTTATGTTTTCAAAGGCAGACAGAATAGAAGGAAAGAGGAAAGTCCATTTGGGGTTTAAAAACGAGCTGCAAAACACGTGGAAGCAATCCCCCCGGTCTTATTTACTTACTGCTTTTATAATATTTCTGAAGCCATATAGTGAACTTCCTGGCAATTAGGATGTTTTCTCCCCACCCACCACCCCAAATTCCATTGACCTGACTTCTTTAAAAAGAAAGGAAGGAACCTATATGCTACCAAAGAAAGTATGGCCCATGTGTTGAGAATTTCCTGTTGTAACCCAGGGTTGCATTGGGGCAAAGAGACTTAATAAATTGGAAGCTATCTATTTTTAAAAATAAAAACTGTCTAACTGGTGTTCAATACTTGCCTAAAGTAAAATCAGTGGAAATGTTTTGCTTTGATAACAAGCCATTAAAATTTTTTTTTCATTGCCTGAAAATTAAGATTGTTATGTTGTTACAATCTGGTTATTTCTCAGCAAGTAGAATCATTCAACTGGAATCTTGTGTTCTGTGCAGAACATAAGTTTCCATTAAGGAAAAGGATTAGCTTTAGTTTGTGTTGTCATGTGTTGAATCTGCATACTAAATACCTGGGGGAGATTGTAGGCCAAAAACACCACTGTGGTAAATCACCCCTACCTAATTCCAGTGTATACACTAGCATTTCTCACTAACTTAATATGAATACTTATCCAATGTAAAGATGTTTTTTTAGGAATGTGATTTCTCTGCAAAAACTTTTTTACAGCGTCTGTTTTTTTCTTTTTTGTAACAATTGAGATTTTTCTAAGATCCCACCTCTCTCCATCAGTTTATCTTTTGTAATGTAGATTTTAATCACTCATTGGTACTGGTTTTGTGTGTGCTGTTTAACCAGCCGTGTAGGTTGTACTTGAAGGCTGTTTTCCTCTGGTTGGAAAAAAGGGAAAGTCCGGATGAAGTTTCTCTGCGGTCAAGTCGCCGAATGGACATTACCCCCAGCGTTCCGGGTTTTCATCAGCACTTTCCGCACTCCAAACGTTCAAAAGCATGTTTAAACGTGATGGATTTTGATAGTTTCCCACTTTGACAAGAAGATGAATCTCACCGCTGTAGCTGCTGCCTAACTGTTGAAGCCAGGTGTGATTTCCTGCAATGTTTTTTCATTCACGCTAGAAATACGATTTTTAAGCGTGACTAAAGATTGCACTTTACAACTCTGTAGACAATGCACGGCATTTTAGGTGGTTTGGTCCGAATTATGCACAGACTATTTTAAACTTGGGAGAAAAGGTAACATTATCCTCGGAGCAACAAGGATTCCTGTATTTTCCCAGCTCAAGGAACTATCCTTCGCAGCAGCTAGGAAGCGGCCATGAGTTGGGGGCGCTATGCTGGGCCGGGGCCGGGTCTCCGGAGCGGGGCCTTGCGTTCCAGCCACGGTCTTTCTGCTTCTGAATAAAGCTCCTGGCGGCTTTGTGACGCACCCGCGCCCTCCATTATTCAGCGCCGGCCCCTTGTCCACGTGAGGCTGCGCCCTAATTCCGAAGTGTCATTAGGGGTCTGTCCTCCAGGGAGCGGGGGCCCTCCGGCGGGGCGGAGATGACGCGCGCCCCTCTCGCTGGGGCTGGGGGCGCGGCGGCCATGCGGCGGGCGAGGGAGGGCGCGGGCGGCGGCAAGGCGCAGGCGGCGGGGACCAGGTTGACGGGGCGCGGCGCGGGTGCCGGCGGCCTGCAGCCCAGGCCCACGCCGCTTCTGGCCCGGGTGCAAAACTGGAGCCCGCACCTGGCCCGTACCCCGCGGCCCGGGAGCCTGTCGCCCAACCGGGCCCCCGACGCCTTTGCCATGCGGGTTCGGCTGGAGGAGACCGGGGAGATGTTCCGTGTGACCAACTGCCGCAGCGACATGACCGTGCGGGAGCTCAAGGAGGAGCTGGATCTCATGGTCGGCATCCCCTTCAACCTCCAGCGGCTCCAGTACCTGGACCAAGGTGGCCTCACTGCCCTTCTCCCGCCCAGCCCTTGTCCCAGGCCCAGGTCCCAAGGGGAAGTCTGCCTACATGAGGACCCCAGTTCCAGTCAGGCAGGACTCAGTTCTGAGAACAAGTGTCCTTTTCCTCTCAAAACCCCGGGTCCCCTGGTCACGCAGCAATGTCATACTTCCTCACAAGCACCATTCATATTACATGGTCCTAATCCACAAACTAAACCCTGCTAGGACCAGGACCCAAGGTAGCTGTCTACAGCAAACCTGTTACCCAAATCCCAGAGCCAACCCCACTGCAGCAGGACCCTGAATCCCAGATCCCAGGCTCCCCGTGTCTTCATAAAGACCCCAAGTCCCAAAGCCCACAGTGTCCACATTGGACTGCCACACCCAGAAAAAAACTTGTTCTTAGCAGGATCCCCCAAACAGGGCAAACTTTCCCACCCATAAGTACCCCACCCACATCCCTAAAATGAACATTGAACATCACAACCCCAAATCCCCCAGTCAACCATTTCCACACAAGTATGCCGAAGCCTGAGACAAACTCTGCCCTTGGGACCCCCAAACCTACAACATACTTGCCTCAGACTGAACCCAAAATCTCCACACTGACCATGACTCTGGGGACGTTAAGTCCTCATGCACCTTTGTCCACACAAGGATGCCAATGTCTGAAACAAACTCTGCCCACCTCAGTACCCCAAAACTCACAACATACCTGCCCCAGACTGAACCCCAAATCTCCACACTGTCCATGGCTTCCTGAACCCTATCTAAATTCGTGAGCACCTTTGTACACACAAGGACACCAAGGTCTGAAACAAACTCTGTCCACCTCAGTACCCCAAAACTCACAACATACCTGCCCCAGACTGAGCCCAAAATCTCCACACTTTCCAAGACTTCCTCTGAACCCCAAATATTTCAGTACCTTTATCCAAACAAGGACGCCAAAGTCTGAAACTCTGCCCACTTCAGTACTCAAAACCCACAACATACCTGCCCCAGACTGAACCTCAGGCAGACCATGACCCCTCTGAACCCCAAATCCTTCAACAAACTTGTCCATAGAAGAATGCCAATGCTTAAATCCTGTCCACCCCCAAACCAAGAACAGACTTGGCCAAATGTGGATCCCAAATCCTCAGGCTAACCATATGAATATCAAAACCCCCAAATCCTCCACAGCTGTGTCCACAAAAGAGTTCGCCTCAGGACCCCTGATGTCTTAAGTAAACCCTGTCTATGTTGAGACCTCAACCCCCAAGCTACCCTGGCTGCAACTGAAACAGAACTCCCAGAACTAACTCTACCCCAATTCTGAGTCCCCAGTCTCCTAGCTAACTGTTTGAGCATCGGAACCCCATTAGCCATCTCTATCCATGTGAAGATGTCAACAACATCTGAAATGAACCCTGCCCACATCTGGACCCCAACTCAACGCAAACTGCTCACATCGAAAAGCCAGTTTTCCAGACTTATCATGACTACTCCAGGACCCCAACCTCAGAGCAAAGGACCCTCCTAATGACTCCAAAACATGACACAAACCTTGCCCGCATCATGACCCCAAAACTCAAGTTGAACCTACTGCTGTCTGAATCCCATGTCCCCACATCGTCTATAGCACCCCAAAAGTTAAAGCCAATTGTGTCCATGTGAGGAAACCAAGGTTCCAAACAAGACTTGCCTACATGCAGACCCCCAAATTCAAAGCAAACTGCTTATTTTGAAACCCAAATCCTTTAGCTAACCTTATCCACATCGGAACCCCAAATTCCAGATTAAAGTCTGCCTACATCAGGACCACAAGTCTCAAACGCTTTCACCATTTGGACCCCCGTATCCCAGGGCAAACACCCTACTCTTGCCCCCAAATTGCCACACTGATTAGGTTTACATCAGAACCCCAAGCCCCCAAACAAGCCCTTCCCATAAACGGACTCCAAATCCCAGAACAGATCCTTCCAAGCCAGTACCCTCCAAACCCAAAGCAAACCTTGCTTCATCAGAACCCCAAATCCGGAGCAAACTCTGCTCTCATCAGGACCCCAAATCTCAAAGCCAGCCCTATCCATGTCTGAACCTCAAATGCTGGCACCAACCCAGTCGGTATCAGAACCCCAAGTCCCCAGCTGTGTTCTTGTCCATATCAGGAGCTAAAAGCTAACCCAGCCGGAATCAGAACCCAGCACCCAGCGGCTCCTCGTGACCAAGTCAGGACCCCAGAACTCCCCTGTCCAGACAAATCCCACGTGGTAGTTGGCCAGTGGAGGTCAAGGACCCAGTAGTCCATCTCTCCCTCAATCGCCTTTCCTAACCTGAGGACCGTGGTTGTCCCTGTCCCCACTCCCTACAATATTTAGGATATGGGAACACCATCAAACCCTTGATCCCTATCATCTCCCCACCCGGTGGAAATCAATGCAACATACTTTGAAAACGAAGATACAAACAGATCTCTGGGCTGCTGCACAGAGAACATGAACGGCCGATACTGCAGAGAAGCTGCAGTGGTTACTGCAGGAGTTGGGAAGCGATGGAGACAGACAGAGATCTGAAAACTGCCTGTCTCCACAGCTGCCCTTCTGAGGCTCAGTTTCCTGGACACAGAGCTGAGCCTTGGGAGAGACACTCTGTCCCAATTCCCCCGGTAGATAGAAATGCCTTAAGGAACAACACAAACATACATGCTGGAGACCAAAATGCCTTCCCTTGTTCTCCTTGACATAGGCTAAGTATTTTTAATGATCTATTTCTTTCCCTATATGAATGTTTGAAGGATGCGTTTAGGCATTTCTGAGGCTTCATGTGAAAAATAGTGTGTATATTGAGCCTAGTCTGTATTTAACACGTTTTGTTTGTGAAAAAGAAAAAAAAAAACAAAGTGAATTATTGAAGAACTTAGTGAGAGTTCCTAAACAAGTAATTTGAAAATTATGTGTGAACTGGTATCCCTTCTGTTAATTTATTTACACAATGAGCTCTGCTGAACAGTAAATTCTAGAAAACTAAGATGGAGTGAAGGAGATGGGATGACTTTGCATTGATGTCACAATCCTATCACTTTAGCAAATGCAGAAGCATGGCTCTCTCTGCTGTTGTAATTCCTACTGTGGAGCACAAGCAAGAGAGGATATTGCTACTCTGTGAGAAGTTTATTTAGGGTTCTGCCTCTAAATTATCAGCTCGTGTCTCTTCTAGCTCCCCTCCCCACCCCAAGGTTGCCGAGAGCACCAAATGAGATAATGTGTGCGAAAACCTTGAGAAAGATAAATCTAAAGGGGGTTAGCAGATTCGTGGACTAAGGTCAAACGTACACATCTATTGTCAACGCCAACAATTTATTTAGCTGGTGATAATTAGTATTTGTTTAAGCCTAAGGCAATTGCTACCTACCTGTGCAAAGAAAATATACTCTGATGCTGTAAAGCTGTTCAGCATGTGTGGATTGCAGTCTTGTTTTTCTTGGCAAAGCACAGCTTTACTCGATATTTTCCAAGTGGTCAAGGGAGTGATGTCTCAGACTAATTACTGATTATCCTTCATGTTAGAACCACAGGACCCTAATGAACAGGTTTGTTAACCAGCATTCCCTATCTAAGAAGCTCTGGTAACACAATCGCTAAGTACTCCACTGCTAACCAAAAGGTCAGCTGTTCGGTTCCACCTGCTGCTCTGCACAAGACCGATGGAAAGTCGTCAGCCTTGAAACCCTGTGGGGGCTGTTCTGCTCTGTCTTCTGGTGGTTATGAGTTGGAACTGACTCTCTGGCATGGGTTTGGTATTGGGTATTTCCAGTCTGTACCCACCTTCGTGAGCTCTGGTAGCACATTGGTACCAACTGAAAGCTAAGCAGGTAGAGATTGGTGCTGGAGGGAAGCAGGTCTGTGTGCATTTCTAGTTTAGTAGCTGTGAGAGCTGTTTCCTAGCCACGGGAGTCCCACTCATCAGTAAACACAGAGACAAACCTAACTCTTAGTGGTGTTAGGAGAGTCCTGGTGTGGTGCGGTGGGATCGGTACCGGCCTGCTAACCATAAGGTCGATGGTTCAAACCCACCAGCCGCTCTTCGGAAACCCTATACAGGGTTGCCTCCATGACACTTAACAACAAAAATAGGGTTGTCATGAGAGTTAAAAAAATGTCGTTAAAGTAGTAGGTAGCACTGAAATAGCCAGAGCAGGCGTCAAAGTACTGAGCACAATTACGCACAGAGCGTCGGTCCACTTGTGAAGCCCAGGCATTTATACATTCCATTCACTTGGATATGGGATTACCCAACCTGGTGGGGTTGCTTATGAAAAAATGCAAATTATACTGTTAGAGTTCATTGAGATTATAGGAGGCCGTGTAAGAAAACGTGTATGAGTGTAGATTTACAAAGGTGAACCCAATACAACTTCATGTTCTTAGAATGTTCTGTAATTCCCTTCCACTGATTCTAACCATCTTCCACAGAGAGGTGTGAATGTATAACGAGTGAGTAGGTCCAATGTTCTTGCGAGAAGGTGGTGCCGTAGCCAAAGGAGTTCAAACGATGCTGAAGACCAACCTCTTACATTGACATAGGTTCTCAACGGGGTGGGTTTGTCAATGCCTGGAGGCATATTTTGTCGTTGTGACTGAGGAAGGGATAAAATTGGCATCTATTACGTAGAGACCAGGGATGCTGTTAAATAGCATACCGCGCACAGGACGGACCATTCCACCCCCTCTCCCCAAACAAAGAATTACCCATTTCCAAATGCCAACAGTGCCAAAGTTGAGAAATCCAATCATAGGCTACGGTTTGAAAGAGCCAACACATTTTTGGAACTGCTATTTTTTCTACTCAGCTACAACAACATTATCCAGAGTTAGTACCGTAGTTCAATATCTATAACGTGTATAACAATATAGTATCTATAATATATAGTTACTTCAACTTTAAGTAGTTCTATTTGCAGAATTTGCCTCATAAAATGACTTTACAGGCTCATGTGTTTTTTCAAATAGGACAAGTTATAATTACAGAATTTTATAAATCATTGCCATTATTGCGTCATTGTGGTTGTTGTTTGGCTATTTGAGCTGAGCCAAATTAATTTTCTAAAAAGTATTAACAACAAGAAACAGACTTGTGCAGAATCTTCAGTGTTTGCAGTTCCAAAATGATCTCCGTTGCCAAGGTCAGATAATCTCTTAACCAATGTAATAGTTTATCTTTAATACCCACCTTTTTAAAAAAAATTTTTTAAAGAAAAAATTATTCCCCATAGGAATTTTGATGGATGATGCCACATTAAAGTTCCATGATGTTGTTCCTGGTGGAATTATTTCGTTATGTATCTGGCATTATGATGGATGGACGGAACTGGTTTTGGCGTCTGTGGAAGGGGACCTCAGTAAGGTGTTTTTATGTTTCTTTGAATGGGTATTATCCTGGTACTTTACGAAATAACTGTAAATCGTGGGGGAGGAAACGTCACTTTGTTTTTAATGTAAACATCTGAACAAATAAAAGTTTCAGAGTACAGACAAAAGATAACAAGGACTCACGTCATAATGATCAAATCCTATATCGAGTGTTTCCATTCACTGTCACTTTGTGGCCTAACTGCGTTGACTTATTTATGATTTATAACCCACCCCCAGAGGAATCCAGCAAGTGCATTTGCTGTTATGTGTATGTTTTCATGACGTTGAAAACCCGAAGTAACTCTCAGTGAAAAACCACACACGCAAATAACTTGGAAATCCATGACCCCAGACTGGGCTTTGTGTGGAGCTGGAATGGGGCAAAGATGGGACTCCAGCTAGCTAGAGGTGCCCTGTCTGGCCATGCGCTCTGTTCTCAGCGAGGCTCAGGGCAGAAGTGAGGACCTGTGGTGGTGGCGGTGTAGGAAATACAGTTACTTACCCAATGGTGAGGATGACTCACTCCAATAAGAGGTGGCAGGCAGGTGGATGTTCTTTTGGAAAAGGTTCAGGGGAAAATCTATGAGGTTGCAGAGTCTCTTTTTGGTTGGAAAGTGATCAGGGTAGGTGGAGTCGGGAGGGATATTGGGGATAATAGGTCTGAAAATGATGGGTGGATGATGGGGGAGGGAGGGCTGGGATTTCAGTCACCCCCCTTTTGAATGTATCAAGCCCTGGAAGGAAGTGTGGGTCCCATTTCAGCTGTTTCCAGACTCTCTCCCTCTTGTCTCTTCTTTTCACTCTTCCTGTCTTCTCCTAAGGGGTCCTAGTGGCACTGAAGGATAAGCACTGGACTGCTACACCCACCAGCTGCTCCAAAGGAGCCTGGCAATCCTGGAAACCTTGTACAGGGTCGCTATAAATCAGAGTTGACTTGATGGAGTGGGTTTGGGTTTGAAGAGTTCTCCTCCTAGGAGTTGATTCCATTCTGGACAGCGGTCAGAATTACATCACCCTTGTCTGACCCACTCTTACGTTCTCCTCATCCTGCTGCCTCTATACCGGATCCCAGCATCTGGCACAAAGTTGCCTCCTTGATACAGCCCATCATCTTCCTCCCTTGCCCAAAGATGACTAGATTATGGGCTCTTATTCATCTGTGAGTGGAGTTCAGGGTGTTCCAAAAGTAACCAAGACAATAGGCATAGGGATAGATCAGAAGCCTCCAAAGAATGTTGTTCCCCTCTGGACAGGCTGATGTCTTCCTTGATGCCCACAGCCACTGTCCTCTGGACACTCAGAAAACCGACTTTCTGTCTTCAAAACATTAACGAAGAATTTCCTGCTCTTGAGCCCGATGGGTGGTAAATGAGTATTTCCTAAACAATAGCGTAGTGGTTACGAATTGGGCTGCGAACCTTAAGGTCAGCGGTTCGAAACTACCAGCCGCTCCACGGGAGAAAGATGAGGCTTTCTACTCCCATAAATATTTACACCCTCGGAAACTCTGTACAGGGTCGCTATGGGTCGGAACCGACTCGAGTTATTTCTGACTCATAGCGAACCTGAGTAGGGTTTCCTTTATAGGGCTTGGTGAGTTTGAACCATCGTCCTTGTGGTTCAAACCGGTCTTGTGGTTCAGTGCTTATCCTACAACACCGCACCAGGACTCCATTTGTTTCCATAGAGGGTCTTGATTTGATATTCAAATGAACCTTCCCCCAAGAAGGTCCAGTCATTCATCTAGAAAAATGTTTCTGTTCTTGTTGAGAGGAATTTGACCTCACTGTGTGGTTACCCATTTCTCTTTGCCAGCTCTCAAGTCTAGGTATCACTGAAGATTCTTTCTACCGAACTGCAAATTCAGAGCATTTCAAAGGCAAGAAGTGGCAGAACTGGGCATCTCAGAGAGCCTTCGTGGCATTGTATATTACATCACACAGAGGTCACTCCGATGCTGTACAGTACCTTCTAGAACATGGTAATTCTCATAGCTTTGCATATTCAAAGATTGGTGTCTGCTGGGGACAGGGAGGAGGGAGTGATTTATCACTGGTCTCTTCAACAGTGGTCAGTCTGTCTTTCTGCCTCTACTTCTTGTCTGTCACCAATCTTGGTCTCCACTGGGAATTTCTGATTTGGGTACAGTCCTTAGGACATGCCAAGTAGACGACACTGTATCCCCTCTTTTTGAGTCTCAATGCGATTCTTTCTGCTGCAGAGAGATGGAACTTTCAGGACAATAAGGCAGCCAAAATGGTGTCTGGAGTCTTTCCCATCCAACATACTGCTGCAAATACTCCTTTGTGGCTTGTGCTATTTCTAGCGCCACCTGGAGGTGAGGAACTGCAATGGTCCTGCAGGTATTTGCCTCAAGCTGGTATTGCTCTGTGAGTGATTGGCAGGCTGGCTTCCCCTATACAGTATCCTTCCCCTATACAGTTCATGATTTCCCTCTGGAAGAATCCTCTCCAAACCCTCTTGTGATGTCTCCTCCCCTAACGGGCAAATATCTCTTTCTCTTTGAAGAAGCAGACCCTTCAACGACATTGTCTCTAAATGAAGGAGCTTAGCATAAGAAATCCCACGAGAGTGCATGTCATCAGCTGTAGCCCTGATGATGCCGTAGGTTAAACATTGGACTTCTAAGTGAAAGGTTGGTGGTTCAAACCCACCAGCTGCTCTGGGGGAGAACGATGTGGCCGTCTGCTCCCATAAAGATGTCAGTCTTGGAACGCCTTCGGGGGCAGTTCCATTCTGACCTGTTGGGTCACTATGAGCTGGACTCTAGTCAACGGCAGTGAGCAGTGAGTGGGTGGGCACTTCATCTCCCCTTGATGTAGTATGTGTTGGGAAGAAGAATGCCCACCGATTGAGGTGTAGACCAAGAGCAATAGCCAATATTTGTAGACTGCCCACCCACCTGCTTTGTTGGAAAGAGGGAAAATGTCATACTTGGTGTTTGGCCATTTATTTGGGGTTTAGGTGACCTTACCCAATGGTCTCCCATTATCAACTCACCTCCCAGTTAGACCCCCTCCTTTTCCATCTGTGTGTGTTCTTGACTCAGCCTCAGTTTTCCACCAACCAAGGTGGGAAAGCTCTCGGGCAGAAGATGTATGAGGAGGTGCATTGAGCTGGGCCCTGGTTAAAGGTTACTCCAACTTTCTCCTTTCTTTTCCTTCCTCCCACGCCGTTCTGTTCTTCGCTTGTTGGAAGATGAAATATTGGCTTTCCACAGCTTCGTAGTCCTTTAAGCTCATAAAAAGTCATCTTTACCTTGATACAACAGTGACGTCTTTGAAAGCACCCGTTAAAAAATTATAGCCAGCCTTACAAACTTTCCTATCCTCTGCAGACAGCTTGCTGCACTGAGGTGCCACAGCTGACGTCGGTGTTATGAGACCCTATTTTAAAAGTTTTACCTCACCCACCAGCCATAGCTCATAAAAACTGCCTCCCGAAATGTCAGCTGGATTTAATTGAATTGCCTTGTTTTCTGTGTCATGATATTTGTTACCCAGAATTTGATTCAATTCAACAAGTCCGAATCGGACAGCTGTCATTGGACTGTCCACCTGCAGCCAGCGGTGAGAAATTCAATCCAAGTGCGTTGTGGCCGTGAGCCAGCCAGCCGCTCATTGTCTGTCATTCCGAGTGCCTGCCTTCCCTAGGCATCGGGCTACGTGCCGGGGATGAAAACAACCAAGATCTAAACAACCGTGTTTTCTGCCCTCCTGGAGTGTACACGGGGCAGCCAACAAGTTATGACAAATATTTCCACAGCTGAGCTTGGCCAGGATGTTCTGGAGAAGCTGAGGGTCCTTGGAGCAGAGACAGGGGGCTGGGAGAGCTCCTCACAGAGGCCAGGATTAAGGACTATTTTTTTCTGAGGAAGTGAATGAATTGTAAAGAAGGTTAGAATTTGTCCAGAAAATATGAAGCAAGAGAGAGACAGTGAGACAGAGAGAGAGAGAGTTGCTAACAAGGGGAATAGTGAAGGCAGAGGGCTTGGGGCAAGGAGAGAGAGCAGTTATATTGTCGACAAGGCTGGAGTCCAGGTGTGACGCTGTAAGATAAACACTGGCCTGATAACCACAAGGTTGACGGTTCAAGTCCCGCAGCTGCTCCTCAGAAACCCTCTATAGGGTCACTATGAGCAGAACAGACTTGGCAGCACTTGGTTGGATGGAGCCAGGGGGTGATGCCAGAGCTATTAGGAAGAGCCTGGGATGTTACTCCAAGGACAGTGGGAGGCTAGTGAGGGGATCGGAGAACGAGTGAGGTGGGCATTTAGCAACGATTGTTGTAAAGGGACCAGATAGCAGGTGAGGTAGCCTTTCCCCCTTATTGTTGGTGCAGACAGGGGATACTGCTGCCATCGAGTCAGTTCCCACTCCTATGGACCCTGAAGAATGGAAGAAATGCTCCACAGGGCTTCCAAGGATGAGCGCTTAGCCGCTGTGCTGCCAGGCAGACCGGGTGGTGGTTTGCATTTTTTTCCTTGTGATTGTAGTGAATAGATATGTAACAAAACATTGGATATGTCAACAGTCTTCACACGTTCAGTTCAGTAAGCATGTTCATCATGTTGCTCAACCTTCACCCTTCTTCATTCCCAAATGATACCGTCATCCATAACCGAAACTCAGTGTCCCGTAAACCTTGAGGGGGGAAACTCAGTGTCCCGTAAACTAGGTAGGGGCGAGGTTTTAATTCTCCCAAGAATTTCCTCATCCCCCTGAGACTTTTCTTGGAGGCGTGTGGCAATGCCAGGAGGGGGGACCCCTTTCAGTTTGCTCCTTTGTCTTGCAGGTGCCAACTGTCTGTCCAAGTCACCTGTGGGCAGGACCGCCCTGCACGTGGCCGCAGCCATGGGCCATCTGGACTGCATTAGTCTTCTGCTGGACTCTGGCGCTTCCATCAACGACAAAGACGCCAAGGGGGAGACCCCCATCTCCATCGCTCGACGCCTGAACCGCAAGCAGAGTGAGAGACGGATGTTCCTCATCCAATGGATGGCCAAGTCGGGAATCAAGGGTTCAGTGGACAGAGCTGCCAAGGTGTTACAGCGAGCCAAGGCTGCGTCAGGTTCTAAGAAGAAGGTCAAACCTTAGTCCCCATGGGGAATACTTGCACATCATCGTGGAACTGGGGTAACTCTTCAGATTCGACTCTCTAGTGGCCCTTGGTCATCCGCAGAACAGGAAAACATGGCAATTAATCTGAATCAGAGATGAAATGATCTGTCCTGTTTGCCAATGACTCCAGGAGGGGTGTTGATGGAGTGGGTCAGTGTGTGGTCATTTGGTAATCCATTAGGGGCCCTAATTCTAAGCTATTTCCCTGTGGTCCCCAGGAGGGCTGCTTGAGGTGACGGGAATCAATTACCTCCTCTCCCTTCTGGAGGTCGGCTAATGCATTGGTGTAATTGGCATAATGATAACAGCGCCATTGTTATTGCACAAAACAAGTACCGGTGATGTCAGGAGGTCGTTTGCAGCATGGGCTGTGTTTCTTGGTAAAACCCGAGATTAAATGCTCCGGCAAGTCGTCATGTTCCAAAAGTTTCACGGAGCCATCTCTGAGGGGTCTGCTTCTTGAGTTGGGGGTAGAAAGCGAAGCTGCAGGGAAGGTGGTGAGGGTGATAAGGAGCCGGAGCCAAGGGAGCTTGTTTCTGCAAACACCGCCACCCCCCCCAAAAGGGCTTCCTCTCGCTGTAGTTTTACACAAATAACTCACGAACTGCATGTTTCCTGGCAAACATGCAGCCCCTTGTGCATGGTTTCCTATACGCGCGATGCATGTGACATGCGGGTGCCCTGTGCAAAATTCAAACTATTGTTTGAAAGCGAGACACTCACATCAGAAGTTGGGGAGCAGTGGCCTCCCCACTGGCCCACCTGCCTCCTCTTGCCAGCTTTCTCCTTGTCCCACTAGAGCCTGGGTACTTTCCTTCTTCTTTCTACTGGATGTACCCCATCTGCAGTGTCTGTTTAACTCTAGGCAATACACATCACAACTGGAAGCCCTGGTAGTGCAGTGGTTAAGCACCAGGCTAACTGGAAGGTTGTCAGTTCAAACCTACCAACTGCTCCAAGACGTGCCAGTCAGCCCCTGTAAAAATGAAGGCTTGAGAACCCTATGGGGCAGTTCCACTCAGGCTGACAGGGTCACTGTGAGTTGGGGTCAGCTTGTCAGCAACGAGTACATGTTAACAAAGCTCGAGGACAGAGCTGTGTGCATGTGACGACGGAGGGGCTCTGCCTGCCCCATGCGTGTTGAGGTGAGCTGAGTGTGGGTTAGCATCTTGTCTGAAGAAGATGCTAGATCTTTCCAGGACCAGACATCCGGCTTCTTGCACGATCCCTGCTGGCTTGAAGTTTTTGAAGAACAAACATGGTAAGCACAGGAATGAGAAGTTGTGTGGCACACTCCTGGAGTTGCCTGCCCTTGTCAAGCCCAAGGTGCTTTCGCTGGGATAAGTGTGGTTGCTTGTTTCTTTTGAAGCAATTCCAACTCAAGGTTGACCCCATGTGTGCAGAGTTGAATTGTGCTTTATAGAGCTTTCAGAAGCAGGTCACCAGGATTTATTTCCAAGGCAGCTCTGGGGGGTTTAAGCTTCTCACCCTTCTGTTGGCTAGTAGTCCAGCAGTTAACTGTTGGTGCCACCCAGACGATCCTGGGAAAAGTGGTCGAGACAACTTAAGACTCATTGGGACATTTGACGGTTCATCCTAAGTGATCTATGTAGTCCACCCTTCCAACCTCTAAATGTCAGAATGCACGATGCTGGGCTCATCAGTATCACAGTTCCATAGGTAGAGCGATGGAAAGTGGTCTCCCCGCCATCTTCCCGATTTGTGTCCCCTTGACTGGATTCTGCTGTCAAATTAATTGGTCACATTTCTTGCTGTCAGAGCTAGTAAGATTTGTGTTAATGACGTGGATTTGCACTCTGTAGATGTGGCCCTACCCAGCTCAGCAATCGGTGTGACAAATAATAGTGTGTATGTGTAGTGGGGGATGTGTGTGGAGGGAAGAGCTCAGCATCAACTGTGTCAAAACTGGGATCTTGTTTTTGGCATACATTTTCCTAAGTCAATAAGCAGATATTAAATTACCCCATCCAACAGGTCAATTCATTTAGTTAATGGGATGTGCTGGAAATGGGTGGCCCTGGCCACTCTTCTAACCGAACAAGTGGCATTGCTCAAAGTCGCATGCTTGCCAGGACCTTTGTGGTGCTTTTATGGTGAGGCGAGCCAAGTGAAGGGCTCCTGTCCCTCAAATATTGAGGGGTAAGCACTCTACTTCCTTTGCCCACAATTCGATTAAATGTTTGGCCAGACATCTGGGCAGGGTCAGTGCCCTCTGTGGTGCCAATGGGCTGGCTCTGTAGCTGAGTCACTCAAACATGCTTGTCGATCCCAGAAACCCAATTTTAGACAACCCTGTCCAACACCCCATCCATTCTATGCAAACAAAGTCGTACCTCATATTAAACAAAACTCAACCCCAAGGTTGGCTTGAACTGCAAGGTCGGCGGTTCAAACTCACAAACTGCTCCTCGGAAACCCTATGCAGGGTCACTATGAGTCGGAAACGACTCGACGGCGCTTAATAACAACAATCCACAAGTGTAGAAGAGTTGATCTGTAATTGGTTGCAACAATTGCATTGTGTATTGATTGATTTTGGTTTTTCCCTCCCATATAGTTTCATACTTTGGAGTCAACAGGGAAAAAAAAAAGTCACGGAGGGGAAGGCCTACCAATTTTGTTGGTACCTGACAATCTCATAGACCCAAGGCACCAGGCGATGGGCCTCAATGGGGAAACGTCTTTGGTATCATCTCTGTGTAGCTGAGCTAGGCTTCCTACTGGCTTATAATACTCAGCTCTCTTTCTTTCTTCTGAGATCCCCATTTGAGGATGGTCTCTCAACTACCAGAGCAGAAGGGCTCCCTGTTGAGTGGTGGGGATCCAGGGTTTGGGGTCATAGTAGACCTCAGACTGGATGTTGATGACTCTCCCTGTGGTCCTGCATGAGTTTCCTGCTGCTTTTATGCAACCAAGTCTCGTGTGTAAAGGCGGACATAGGACAATCATGGTACCTGGTTGCTCCGGTGGTTGGGAGGGCCTGGGAGGCAGAAGGGGCTTAGTGTATGCTGGCTGCTATGGTCCGAGAGCTTGCTTGGGGCCTTTTGATGAAGAAGTGTGAAATGATTGACGTTTGGGAGAGAGAAGAACTACTTGGTGCCTTTCCTGCATTTGCCAAGTCTTGAGTACCAGGAAAACAATGATGGCCTGGCTCTTGGATACCCCTGAAAATACTCCACATACCCCTGAAAATACCACTGTGTGTCCATGGATTTCTTGAAGGCCACAGAAAGGATGATTGCTCATAACCTCGTCCTCTTCACCTTCAGGGACGGTGCTTGCGAGGTTACTCTCAGGAAGCCTTGCATCCACCTGAAAACCAGGGCTTGGAAACAGTTGGCCCCTCCAGAGACATGGACACACCCACTTGCAGCAGTTGATGATGGCCATGTTAGCAGTTGTTTCCCATTTTGCCTTGGCTGCCAGGAAGCTCAGAACCAAGATGTTGGGAGTGCAGATAGCCAACTCATGACTCCCTTTGCCTTGTCTTTCCCCCTGAAGGAGTTGCAATGTCTCCCTTTACAATTTTAGCTGTCCTGCATATGTACTTTATTAAAAGTTGCTTTGAATTCTTTCTGAGAGTCAATGCAGTGTACATAAAAAAGGATGCTAAGACAAATTGGATTTTTACTTGTACCTCAGGGAATTCTAGGGAACTCCGTCATTTTTAACTACAGAAGAATGTCTGTTTGGTGCCAGTTGATTCAAACACCTCCCCATCCTCACCAATGTCCCCTTTACACAAAGGAGACTTTCATAGACAACTAACTGAAACATTGACAGTTTGGACCCATCAACTCCTCCACAGAAGAACAATATAGCAGTCTGCTTCTGTAAAGATTTACAACCTTGGAAACCCTATGGGGCAGTTCTCCTCTGTCCATAGGGTCGCTGTTTGCCGCAATCCAATAGATGGTTAGGAACCAGCTCTCCAGATCATTCTCCTGAGGAGCTGCTGGGTGGGTTCGAATCAACAACCTCTTGGTTAGCAGCTGAGTGCTCAATCCGTGCATCACTAGGACTCTTTCCATAAAGATGATAGCCTCAGAAACACTGGGAAGTTCTGTTCTATCCCGGAGGGTCATTATGAGTCGACATAGTAATCTGGCGGCAATGGACTTTGTGTTTATTTTTTTGTGTATCATCTCCGGAGGACTTAAATGCTTGGCACAGAAACAGACACTTGAAAAATAGCAGCTAATATTATTATTATTGTGACCACCATTTAATTTGCTTAAAATGTTTGCTCACGGGGAATCAATACACTCTCGGATTTCAGATCGTACATTTTCAGCAAGCCTCCTAGAATAAGAGTCTCCATCCAGAACTAATAATTCCCAAAGTGGGAGATAACTAATTTCCCTTAAACTTGCTGATTTGGGTGTTAAGTAGACGGCTTCCTCAGCAAGTTGTTGTGAACTTGAAACTTCAGGCCAGCTCTGCAGCAAAGAGGGGGGACAAACAAACAGCTCACAAACCGCAGCAGCTCCTCAGAGAGGAAAATTCCAGTCGCTGGGCTCTGCCTCCGCAGTGCTGCACTGGCCCCGGACACTGCCAGCAGAGGGCACAGAAAACCAGTAACATTTAGACAAACATTGCCGTTTGTGTTCCTGGGAAATAGCAGGGATTCTGCATTCCCTTGTGGCAGGGAAAACGTCAATGCTGAGCTCCCTTCCTGGCTGTCTCCCTGGGTCTGCGACCCCCTGAAATAGTCTGTCAAGTGTGTGGGGTGCAGACAGGTGTTTGTGTGTTTTTTAAAAATCTTGCAGGGAGCAGAGAACACATAACCCTCAACGTGTCCTTAAAGGGTCTGTGGCCCCCCATCCCAAGTCCCTCAAGGTTCAGAAACCCAGCACACAAGGGGCTCAACCACAGACCTCAATCAAAAGTCCCCTTAGCCAGGGGACTTCAACTGGAAGAAAGACAATACTGGTGCCATGACACGTGTGCACACA